AATTTTGGGCCAGATTAGCTAATTTTATTAACACAACCAACCTGTAACTGCTAGATTTACTGGAATTCTTTACTTTGATATTCTCAGTAACTATACTGTATGTGTATGTTCTATAGAAATAATACTATTGCATGCTCCAGATCCAGCTATAATTTTTCCTGACAATGTCTCTGCTGGGTTAAAAGAAACATAATTAATACTTTATTTAATCCTTGCATACTCTATAAGTAGTTGACCATCATTCAAAATGGGAGTTGCCCAGAGACATATAGTTTCTTCACACTTGAGTGTATTCAACCCTGATTACTGTTCAGTAGAAGTATACCAAATAAGTAAAAAGGCGCTGCAACAAAGAATTCCAGCTCCACATTTCCTCCATGCTGAGGGTCGCTGTAACAGTGATACCCATTTGCTTTATAAGAGTTACCAAAGTCTTTGCAGTTTAGAGAATTATAGTTATTTTGATTATGTTAGTTTTACACTTGAAATACTTAATGGACTATTTGTGGGGGTGATGCTTGTCTTATATTTATTTTATTCTTATATTTAGCAACATAAACATTGACTATCCCTAAGGACAGGGATAGGCTGATAGCAGGGGAAAGGCTTGCCTCTTTTGCTTGGTTGGGATGATCTACCTGAAATACTATTTTTGAGGAAACCAATGCCTTCAGTCTGCCTGGACCTGTGTTACATGCTGTATGCATGATAGCTTTTTTAACCATCACAGTAACGCTGTGAAGTAGGTATCTCCTGTACATTACCATTTCACGAATCTGGGAGTGGCACCTTGCCACGGGTTAGGTAATATCTCAGCCTCTAACGTTCTCAAGGCCAGCGAATGTTGGGGCAGCGACTGGACCTCGACACAAACTGAAGACTTTCTTATACAGTATGAATAACTTCCAAATCTTTGAACTCCACAAATTAAAAACAACAACAACAACAAATCACTTGAAAGCAAAAGAGGAAATTTGGAGGTGGTAGAACTAGGGACACAATAGTTTACTAATCTAATATATAAGCACATTCACTAAATTTTGTTTAATTCTGAAATGTTCATGTTCAGTGTGCTACACACACAAAAGTATACTTTATTCAGATACTGATGGCAGATTGATTGGATATATTTATGAACCATTTACAATTTTAATATGAAGTGAGCCAGCTGTAGGATTTTAGGGATCTGACATCTTATTTTATCAGCTTATGAAAAGAAACTAAGAGTATTATGGGAGTGCAGTTCTCATGTTTTGGGAATAAAAATCCTTTATTGAATTCAGCAAGTAAACACAGCAGCCATTTTTAGAAGAGATGAAAAAAAGAATCTCAAAGTAAAACATTCCCAACCCCACGAAAATATTGCATATCACATTTATCACATTGATGTTCATTTAAACAATCTCATTTTCTAGAGATTACTACCAACTTCTAATTTTTTCATTTCATTTTAATTATCCTTAATAAAAATGGGAGGTTTGCTCAAATAGAAACAAACTTTTCCACGCTTTAAAATCTGTTTTGGATGTTGTATTTATAAAAGCATTTAAGTATTTTCAGCATAGACCACTGACTTTTCCTTGCCAGCAAGAACAGTTCTCATACAATGGAATATTATTCAGTTTTGAAAAGGAATGAAGTTCTGACACATGCTACAACACGGATAAAACTTGAAGTCATTAGGCTTAATGAAATAAGTGAAACACAGAAGGTAAAAACTGTATGATTCCACTCATATCAGAGACTTAGAATAGGGAAGTTGAAAGAGACACAAAGTAAAATAGAGGTTGCCAGGGACTGGAAGGTGGGGTGTAGGGGTTATTATTTAATGGATGCGTTAAAGTATTTGTTGAGGATAATGATGAAAAGATTTTAGATATAGTTGTGATTTGTTATTACATTATAATTATATTTAATGCCTCTGAATTGTATAATTGTGAATGGTTAAAATGAAAAAGATTATTGTATATTTTACTACAATAAATGAAAAAGGTAAGAAGAATTCTGCTGAGATCTTACAACTGAGGAGCAGAAAATTCTAGCCTCTGTTTCTAGACCTAATACCTGAATATGTTCCATTCCAACAAATTCAGAAGGTTCCTGTGTAGGCTTTTCTTTAATTCATTTGGTTTATTCAGTCAATAAATGTTTATTGAAAAGTCATGGTATGTCATGTCAGACTCTGAGGATCTAGGGAGATGGGTAAGGAAGGTCTCCAGACACCAGGACTCAGAGAGACAGCTACATTCACAAATCATTATAATATACAGGGTCCAATACAAGTAACGCCCCTTTATTATTACAAAATCTTAAGCATGTAATTCTGTAACATAACAATATCACACACAAGCACACCATATGACATTTTAGGTAATGTTCAAATTAAAACTATAAATTATTACACCCATATTATTACCCTAGCAACCATACTCAAGCAGGTGTTACTTCTGCTGAACTCTGTAGCATAAGTGCTGCGGTGGAAACATAATGAATAGTGGGAACACAAGGGAAGAGGTTCCTGAAGGGATCAGGGCTTCATAAAAAAAAGCTGATAAATTGATCTGCATGTGAAATTTGAGAAGGCATCGGATTGCTCATTGCATTTCAATAATATGCAGAACATTTTCTCTTACATTTCTGCCTTGGAATCTTAGGTCTAGAGTATTTGCAGCATTTTCAAATATTTTAAAATATTTTTCCCTTGTGTATAAGCAGACTCATCCCTGGAGTAGGAAAAACATCTTTGTTAATTCTCTGTCCTACTTTTAAATATTTATAAGTAAAACCACCTTGAGAAATAATTCAAAGTCAATGAAACATACTCAGATCCCTTAAAGAGTATGTCATTTAATAGGGAGATGCGGCAAAAACAGCTGGCCAGGGAGTCCTGAAGAAACAGTCAGTCAGGGCGGCCGTGCACAGGCAGGAGAAAGGACTCCTGCCAGGGGTGAGAAAAGCCTCCTGGGTGGGGATGGGGGCAGCGTCTTTTGAATTTTCCTCTTAAGGCTGTGTAGAATTATAATTCAATTAAATTAATTTCATTTGGATAGAAATATATGCACGAAAGCAGAAAGGCAAAAAAATATTAGTCCTATTCATGAAAGCAGTGACAAAGCAAACCAGAAAGGCCCATTGGGGCCAGATTATGAGGATTTCCACCATTAATGTTCTCGTTCTTGGAATCTGAGAACCATGATTTGTTACTGTGTAAATTTAGGAGAGAAAGGCTGAAGAGTCTTCACATATCTACCCATGTACAAAGGATGGCGGAGAAGAAAGGAGAGTAAAAGCGGTGATCCAAAGGCACATGGGCACTGAGCTCATGGGAGGAGTGGGAACAGACTTAACTAGAAGTATGATATAGTGAAAAAACAACATGTTTTGGAGTTAGTCAACCCTGGGTTCAGATTCTGTATTCAAAGTGACTATGCAAACTTGGCCAAATTACTTAGAACTTCTGAGCCTCATTTTTCTTTTGTGACAAATGAGGACAGCCGTAGTGTCTCTACATAGGGTTATTCTGATGACTAGAGAGGATGCATGACAGCCTTATGTAGACTCCAGATGGCCCTCAAAGATACCAATATTAGCTCCTTCCCCAGGTGATTTCTGAAGTCCCAGCTGAAGTCAAATGTCTGTGAAAGAATTTGGAAGATTTTTTTTCCTGCAAAAATAAGCTAGTCTTATAATTGAAGTTAAAATACATAATTAATATATTTCTAAACAACTAATAATTAGCTTCAAGTATAAATAAAACTATAGCCAAGGTAGGTTTTCCTAGTGCAGGCACTTATCTTTTGGGATTTCTTAAATATTTTTGAGAGCTGCATTAACCATTTCACTCCTCTGTGTTGCCATGTAGGGCTCTGAGCCATGTGTTCAGGAAATAGTGCCCTGCTATCAGGTCCAATATGAGGTCCCTCCAAATTCTTTTCCTAGTCAGAGCTTTCAATTTTATCCTGTACAGTGCGTCCTTCTGCTAAAGTGACTACCGGCCATACTTGAAGGTATGAATGCAAATTTGAAAACATCTCCCATGCTCTCCATTGGAAATAGTCTACTTCGATGGTGGTTCCTTGTGTCCTTACTAGACTTCATGCCTTTGTAACTAGTCTTTCTTCTAATTATATTTCAGGTGACCCTCACAGGTTTTCTATTTCATAATAACATTATTTGTAAATGAGGTCTTCTCCTTTTTGACTGTTGTGTTGTTATTTGTGTCTCCTGATGTGGAGACAAATGTGTCAGGATGATGGTGGTCGTGGGCATCGACAGATGGTAATAGAAAGGCCTCTAATTTTTCAGCATTTGATGTGATATTCCCATTTAGTTTGAATCCCATAGCACCCTTGTCACACCTTTTCTGTCACCTGGCTCACATCATACAGGAACTTTTGGGAAAACATCTTTTTCTCATTGAGCTCTGAGCTTCCTAAAGAGAGGGCCTTTTCTTATTCATCTCCATACACACAGCATTAGCATTGCGCCTGGACATGTGTGTAGATATTTATGGGAGGTACAAATAAGTACCTTAGTTTATCAGGGCTCAGTAAAAAGATCCTGAAGATAAGAATGTCCAATAGTAAGTTATGAACGTCTTTTTAGAATTTCAAAGATCATTCACTATTCAGCTATCTTCCTAAAAAATGTTTTATTTAAAAGTAACATCTCGAATACCTGCTTTTTGGTGATTCCTTTGTAATAAAGCAGGAAGGAGATACAACTTAAAGCTCTATTTTTTTTTGAAATTAAAAGAGGTGCAGCCTGAATTCTGTTTAAATTGTTGGTCCAGGTATGACTTGTTCAATTCCCTTTCTAACTTTGATGCTTTCCAGCAAACATACAAGTAAATAAAACCAGGAATTAATAAAATTAACTAACTGGTTACTTTGCACCTGCCCACAATACACAAAACAAAGGTAAATTTTATGTTGACTGTATTTGGATGCTGTTTCTTGGTGATTTCATACAATATCTACTTAATGTTGTATCATCTCCTTTTCTTAGTACTTCCCATTTCTCACTTTTTATGTAGCCCTGTTTTAAATAATGTTTTGTCTCAATGTCACTCATGCATTTAATCATTTTAAAATGATGGGATATGAGATGGGACTGAATACGTGAAAATTTCTTAAGAATTAAAATATAACAAACAATAATTTGCAAAACCAATATGGTAGAAGTCATATTTATTGAAAAAAATTAATGTCTTTGCTATAAAATTTGTAACAGGTATATTTACTGAATGTTTATTTTAATGCATAAACCTGAATATTACATACCAAATACAAGACAGTAGCACTAGTTTTTTCCTTTATTTACTTTTTATGAAAATTGTTATGCAGTCTGTGTTAAAAGAACTTATGATGGAGAATTGTTACATTAGAAAAATAATATTCTTGATAAAGCATTCCCAAGGAGTCCAATCACATTTTCTGCCTCCTTAATAAGGCAAAAGTCCTTGGAATAGCACATAACTTAATTTATAAAATACAATAACTGTTCAGACACATATTCAAGTTTTCTTTTGGTATGATTTCTCCTCACTGTAAAATTACTTTTTTTTTCTTTTCTTTTTTTTTTTACTAAAACAGAAAGACTTTTAGGAAAATGTCATTGAGTGATTTCAGCTATACATTATATACACAACTCTGTAGCCTAGCAACAACCATTGCTACAGCATCATTAAATATTTTGCTTGGTGAGCTATTCTCAAATGTAGCATATTTTAAGATTTTGCCATCATTATGACTGTGGAATCATTGTGTGGGTTTCATAGGAAACAGATCTGTCACAGTATGAAGCTTTGTTTGTTTTAGGGAACTGGTACACAGTTACATGTCCACTCACAAGAGAACGCCAGAGATGGAACTAGTCAGGCTCTGCTGGCTCCACCGAGGTCCGCGCGGGACCAACCCTGAACCTCCTGCGCTCACACTGCACAGCCCCGGGCGGGTTCAGACGGTTTCATTTCCAGAGACTTTGTTTTCCTTTTCATAGTTAGGTCGTTTTAATTCCTTCAAAGGCACACAACTTCCACCTTTTTTCCAGCGTTGCTCCCACGCCTGTGAACTCCTGTTTAAACATGCGTGGCAGTCTCATCAGAAGCATTTCGATTTCATTTGCAGATATCTGTTGGGAAAGAAGAAAAGCCAGCTTTAGGACAGGAACGCATCGTAGAGGCAGAGGCGCCGGGGGAGGATGGCTTTTCCAGTGACACAGCGCAAAGTTTTCCACTTGGCTGTCAAGTAATGTCCGTGTAACAACAACCTGAGGAAAGCACGGGCAGGATTCCTCCTCATTCTGTGAGGAGCTGTTTGGGAGGGACATGGGGAAAGTGAACGGGAAGTTTCAGGTCCGGCCTTCGCATGGATGGCTACCTTGCTGGCACTGCTGTGCCTGAAAAGCCCTCCCATCAAATACAAGGGGATATCGCGAGGCGCGCAGAGCTTGGCGTAAAGCACTGCCGCTCCTGGAAAGTTCTTGGTGCCTCTCCCTGTTCCATGAAGGGCAGCACTTTTACCCACCACTGAGGGCTAGAGAGAACGTGGGTCGATTTCTTGCCACTCTTCTTTCTCTACCTTTAACTTTCACAGGGATCAGAAGACAATAAAGGATTTGGAACAGAAACCTACAGCAATAAAACTATTGACATCTAGTCATAAAATCTAGGTAGATGTTTTAATGCAATTTTTTCTTCTACAAATTTTCTTATTTCATACACTTTTATACCAGTAACTCATTTTATCTTAAATAAAGAGCAAATTAACCACAATCCTTGTCTAACATAGAAATTGTTCTTGTTTTCCTGTGTTTGCTTCCTAACCCATGCATGTGAACGGGGATCCCATACAGCAAGGTGAGTAAGACCCTGGGATTGGGGGTCTGACATTTCTGTTTGAATCTTGTGTCTACTAAAGGACCCCTATGAAGATAGTTAGTCTCTCTAAGCCTCAGCAAGTGGGAGTATCAAGATTCCATAAGGATGGGTAAAGACCACTGGCTCAGCACAGATTTGGGCATATAGAAATGCTCACTGAATCAAACCTATGATTATTTTCCATGGTATAGATACCATTTTAGAGCCTACACTTTCCATTTAACAATATTAAGACTAATTTTAAAGGAAGACCAAATAGACCAAGAAGTCAAATCAACTATTCATTTAATATTCACATGGAAAAGATTTCACATGATATACCTAATATTCCTGAGCCTATAATACAAAACTTTAAGTAGAGGCAGTCCTGAAAGTTGAAGTCAATTGTACTTTGTGGGAATTATTTTCAAATTTGAATGCATTTTCCCATTAAACCATGTTAAATGGATTAGAAGATTCCAAGGGCAACCTACAAAAGCCTACTAAACAGATGATGAAGAGACTCACAGTGACTTTGAAAAGCAGAAGCATATTTTCTTTCAGTGAGAAACTGTGCAAAGCACCTTCACCAGCATCCTCGTTTCATTCTCACAACACTCCTATGAGACTCGCGAGACAGATACTATATTCTTCATTTTACAGCTGAGAAATCTGAGTGAACTGCAGAACTGTTTTATCAGACAGACGTTGGGACAGACCCGCGTGTGGCCTGCATGTGGGCTGTGTGTAGGTTGGGACCTGCGCACTGGTATGCTTTAAGCTCTCTCTGTGACTGTCATCAACTACAGGTGAAGAACTAGGGGGGTAGCTGTTCTTTTAAACATCAAGGACCTGTGGCACTTGTTAAAAAAATTCTCTAGCCCCTTCTCTGGTGACTGTAATTCAGCTGACCTGGGGTGTAGCCCAGATAATCTATTTTTAACAGTCACCCCAGGTTATTCTTATGCTTGGGCATATCTGGGTTTAGAATGGGGACTTAAGTCACTCAGGCTTGGATTTTAATCATGATTAGTCCTTAAGCAAACTATGTGACCTTGGGTAGGTCACTTAATAGCTGTAATTCTCAGTTTCTTATTGTGTATAATAGAAGTAACAATATCCTCCCCAGTGTTATTAAGAGAATTATATGTAAAATGTAGCACAGTGCCTAGCACAAGCACACTTTCTCTATATATCCATATATCAATGCTGATAGAACACACCAATATCAAACCTTTCGTGGTAGGTGGTTCAAGCTCTGTGTTTATAGACCAAAGGAAATAAATACAGATTGGTATGTGGTCAAACCCTGTTCCTAGTTGGTCCAAAAGGCAGATTTCCTTAGGCTTCTGAGGCCAATTATCCTCTAAACAAGCTCCCTTCCTGCCCTTGTAGGAGGACAGCACAGGTGATGAACCACAGGCTCCAGTTCCATTCACATCTCAACAACAGCCTTGGGATGAGCCGTCCTTCCTCAGATGAACAGAGGCTCTAAAGAGCTGACAGACCGAGGTAACAGCCAGTCATCATAGGCTTGTCTGCAGCATAACTATCACCTCCCTTCGAAAAGTGGGGAAGAAGCCTTGTGCTCTTCATTAGAAATGAAGAAAAGCTGAATTCTTGAGGGTCAAATAAAGATCTGAAGATAGCGTCTCTGTGGGAGGCCAGCTGGGGCCACCAGGTCAGGCAATGCCACTTAGGAGCCCTGCTGCTGGTGGTAAAAGGTGTAAAACCTGTCACCCAGAACCTTCTCCTGGCCAGGCTCTTCTGGAAATACTCTCTTTAATCTTTCCACACTCTCCTGAGAGAGGGAATAGTTTAAAATGAGGAAACTGGGGTCCAGAGAGATTAGGCACCTGGAGGAGGGTAATTCAGACAGTGAGTGTGGAGCTCGGGGGCAGATCCAGGCTCCCTGGCCTTGTTCTTAACCACTGATGTCAGTTGCCACAGGGGGCGGGCTGTGGAGGAAGAACCGGAAAGAATCCCCTTGGTCACTGCCTCTCGGCTCCTGGATCGGGAACACTGGGGAGGGGTCTGTGCACAGGCAGGTAGAATCCCTGTGATGGATCCTTTAGAGTGATAGCAACATCAAGGGGCAAAAAGAAAGGAAAAATTCCCAACTCAACCAGCTTGTATGATGAATCCATATGCTAATGAACCCTCACAGGAACCATTCACAACAGAAAGCAGATCATGGGGAATCTTGTTTTACATGGTTTCCTGCCCTGAGTCTAATGAACCTCAAAGGAAGCAGAAGGCAGCAGAAGGGAGTCCTCACTGTGGCCAGGGCCCCTCAAAGCAAGTGCTTTATGTGCGTCATCTCATCAAAAAGCTCATTAAACAAGCAAACAAAGTCCTCACTTGCTGGATGAAAGAAATGAGGTTTGGATTGCACTCCTGGCGTAACTGTTAACCTGCTTTACTATCTTGTCTAAATCAAGTTACCTCTGGGCGTTTTCTCCTTTGCAAGATGAGGGAATTGGAAAGAAACTCACTGAATGCTCTGAGGACTTGGCTCCAAGTGCTAGTCCCACTATATATTGAGCTCCCGTCTTTGCGCAAGCTATTTAAAATTCATCTACCCACTAGGGTTGGGGTTTTACTTTGCAAATACCTTCACTTTATTTCCATTTTTTTGTCCTCCTTATAAATAATTTGTAATTTTTGGCTTCACAATATCCCTTATCACCCTACCTGTAATTTCTTGCTTTTGAGAACTGCAAGAGTCATGGAGTCATCGCAAAGTAGCCAGCCTCCCTGGCCGAGCTCAGCGGGAATGTACCTATTTCCTCCTTGGTTGGGCAGGATTCCCTTCCCCTAATCCCTCTGGAGATCACGGATTCTCTCCAAGCATCTGTGTCACAGAGGGGACTCTGGGGCTGCAGCCTGCTGCCCAGCGCTGCATTCCCCGGCCCACAAGGATGCCATGAGGAGAATGAAAGGTACCTGGTTAAGAGAGTCCTGCGTGGCATTATGATGGAGGTTAGAGGCATATGCCATGACTGTGAAACCTCATTTCTCCTTTCATCATGTACCTGGTGCTCTGTGAGGTGAGGCGGACTGTCATACATATGTTTTCATTACCCTCTTCCCCAGCTGGCTTTTGTTCCAAGAAATTGGTGGTCTGTGTATTTTCAGTCTTTGATGTTGTCAGTGGATCCCCCCATCCCTGTTTTGCTTAAGAATTTCCAAGTCTAACATTTATTCTTTTAGAAAGGATTGATTTGTTCAAATTAGAAAAGAAGAAGAAAAGATCAGAAGGAATAAAGGCCCCATGTTGTCAAAGGAGCTTCTGTGGTTGGTAACCCCACAAAGGTAATTTGTTAAGATCTGCTTGAATTTTTTTCTGATTTGTGGACCCTAGCCCAAGCCTACTGCCTCCTCGCCAGGCCTCTAAGCACATGTGTAAATTGACACAAGCAGACATAAACCAAATGTTTTATAAGGATGGTTGGCTCTATGTTCCAAATCAGTCAGGCAAGGGAAGCCAAATGACGTGGGGCTCCTGTCTGAGGCACTGAAAAGACTGGCATAGGCTTTGTCAAGGCTGGACAGTCAGAGAAGCCAATTACAAGACCAGATTTCCTCCCACAGGGTAAACTGACATTTTTCATATCCCTCGGCAAAGCACACAAATACCTGCCACAAACATTTGCAGAGAGGAATACAGAATGTGGGGTGGAGGAGGGGAGGGGGGAGGACACAAGGAAGTAAGTATGGGAGAGTAAGGAAAGAAGATAAGGAATGAGGGACAGAGGAGGCAGGAAGAAAAGAATAGGGAGGAGGAAAAGGAAAGGAGGAAGAAAATAAATAGAAGGAAAGAATTGGAAGGAGAAAAAGAAAGATCTCAGTGGAGAATGAGAGGAGGAGGAAAGGAAAGAAGGAAGGGGAGAAAGAGGAGAATGGGAGGAAGTATGCAAGGAGCATTAAAGTGCCCCAGAGGGAAGTCACAGGAACAAATGTGATTCAAGGACATGTCCTGTTTCACTAAACACCTATTTGCCCAACTCAGCATTTCATTAGTTCATGTCTGAATCTCAAGCTGGTTTATAGATATTATACCATTTCCTCAACTAGACTACAAGCTTTTTGAGAGCAGGGTTCTTAAATTCCTTTGGCCATTCCCTGTTCTTTCTAGTCCCAACGGCAGTGCTGTGTATGGGAAAAGCAGTGAATTACCTGAGCATCGGTGGGTCCCTGTCAACCCTGTCAACTTCTCTGGCTGTAGGTGAGCAACTGTCTTTTTATTCTTTTCTAGCCCAATGGAAGTATAGTTACCTCCAATACTTCATATGTCATATGCTTTCCAGAGGTGCTGTGATATCTAAAAAACACATTCATTATAGACTGTCTAAGCAACAGAAGGCTCATTCAATCATTAATAAACTGTGACAGGCGGTTATTTAGGAGAACACCAGAACACACATAATATTAAATATTATTCAGGTGGGGAGTCTTACAAACACTACTGGGGACACTTCATCCACCCTACCACCTAGCCGTAGTCTGGGAAAGAATGCTCTCCCATGAAGGCCTATTTGAATCTCCTTAAACAGACAAGATATTTTAATTTTGTATTTCCAGAGTTATGCTTTTAGTTCAGAAATGCAAATGGTTTGACCCTCTGTGGGAATGTGCACCCTCTGGTGGGAATGAGCACCTGCGCCCGTCACCAAACAGTGGTGTCATGCCCAAATGGCAGGTCTTTCTAAATCCTCCAGCATCCGCAGGTACATGTCCAGTCTGGTTTTCAGAATCAAAGGTCCACTCGGTGGACCTTGGGAAGAGGCTGCCGGTAGGTAGAGGGAGCAGCCAGACATACTTGGAGAACTGAGTGTAGTCTTCTAATGGATACACAAATTGGAGGAAGAGCAGAGGGATCTGTCTTATTGACTGTAAACTAGGAAATATTTACCTGCTAATGCTCACCTCCTTGCTCCTCAGGGTTAGCAAGAAGGCGTGAAGGGTTCTGGGCTGACAGGGGAGAATCTATGCATTGAACAGAAACCATTTTCAAGATAGTGTTGCCTGTTCAAAGAGGTCACCTGCCTGTGCCCAGGGCATGATTTTTGATTCAGCAAACCTCCAGGGGGCTCCCCTACTCCACTTGCCCTGTTTTCCTATGTATGAATCTCTCTGACTTGGTCATAATGGTTTTTGAAATGACAGAGCTGAGTGAATGACAGTGAGTGGTTTAGAGGAGACTGACAAGAGAAAGATATGCAATTATCATTATCAGAGAAGGAATAACATTTAATGGGAAAATGGTCTGTCATTGTGCTACAGTTTTAGGGAAGCATGTGCAGTTTACATGCCCCAGAGAATTTAAATTAATTCCTGTCTCTCCTTCCATTTCTAATCATTCTTACACCCATATGTGGCCTTGGAAAATCCTAATAAAAACAGCTCCACTGCAGGCTGGATTGAGCCTGCTTTTCTTGTTCTCATCAGCACTGGGATACGCAGAGTCTAAATGTAATTTTGCAACATTTGTGGGGATGGTGTTGTCATCCGATGTCAAGGGAACTGTGTTGTTTTAAGTGGGATTTTTAAAAAGCTATCCTACTGGAACCAGCACTACCCCGGTGTTGTGGAGGCCAGGAGGAAGCCACTGCCTAAGTGCAACCCTAACCAAACCTGGGGGGCATCCTGGAACACTCGCTGGTTCTGGTTAACCAGAGGCAGGTGCACCAGCCTCTGCCCTAGAGAGCCTCAGCATTGGTGGGTGGGCTGGCTGCAGCTCCAAGGTTATGAGCTGTTTTGTGGCTGATTCAGGGACAAGGCCCTGGTGGGTACTTAGAGGACAATCTTTTATTATTTTGTTTTCTGCTTAAAGCCCTGAAGATATGGAATTCTAGTATACAGCAATAATTTGCTCTCTGGATTAAAAAGTCAATATCCTTTCGGTTTCACGGGGATAGAAAGAATATTTAGTCTAATCCCTAGCACCCAGGGTTTTAAGTCAGAGCACTTTTTAGATGTATGTTTTACCTCAGGCATGAGGAAAAAACTTGACAGCTCCACTGAGCGTTTCATTCAGGAGATGGATGGCTGTCTGGGGAGACTCCGCTTATTTCCTCTGTGAGGAAAATACTTTCTTCATTATCTTCTAAAATAAAAGTACCAGTCTGAGATGAAATGGAATTTCCCTTGACTGAATTCCTTCTGGAAAGGCCCATCATCTAATGACCAGAGACCAGGTATGTGAATTCTCTCCTCAGAGACGTCTCAGGGAGACCACACAAATCTCACCTGAGCACATGGATGATGGACATTCTGTCCTGAGGGTAGGAGTAAAACAAGAGCCTCTATTCTACCCAAAATATTCACTATTTATCATCCCCAGGTGATTTCACATGCATATGCTCACACACACACTTGTGTGACAACACACAATGCACATACACATTTCACAGATGCACAGATCACTAGCCTGCTCTGATGGAGTAGTGGAGACCAGAGCTCTGGAATTCTAGATAAATGATAAATAGATTCTTTGGCTATTTCATCTCATACTAAAAAACAACGGCTTCTCCCCAAAGGCTTCCCACTTAGGATTTCCATAAAGGGGAGGAAAGAAATGTCAACAATACGAGGGAAGATAAGGAGTCATTTCTCAAGGGCTCATTCTAGGCCAAACACTTCGGTGCAGCAGTACTGCACTGAATTCTCCAGGCAAAGGTAGTGGAGATAGTAAGGAAGAATGGTGCTGTTCAAAGGAAAAAAACAAAAACAAAGAAGGCTTTGAAGCTTTATTTCAACAAAGTGACATCTATGCTCTTCCTTCTCATTTCCTATGAGTTAAAATGAACATTTTCTCCCTAGCCATATGAGGGGGGTGCTCATAGAAGACACTATTATGATTCCTAACTTCAAAAATCTGATAATCTCCTCATTCCCTTTCACTCTGCTTTGGTTCATTCCCTATCACCACCTGTGATAGAATAAAATGGCATGAATCTCTATGGCTGAAAAATACTTTTCATTCTGAATGACTTCTCTCAAATGGGAAGTATAAGATCTATTAGAAAAGCCAAGCAGTAGTGGGATCATGAATTGGTAAGATCATTTGAATCAAAATAAGTACACCATGTAGTAATTTGACTGATACTAACCATTGAAAATTTAGAGTGACTTACATGTGTGTATTTCAGGGTCATAGAACTACTGGCTGTGCTCCTGGTCCTACAAATTCCATGCACTTTGCTGTGCTCTGTGGAAGAGCTCCATTTTTAATTTTTCTTTCCAGCAGGACATTTAACAAGCTACTCAGTGACAGGCTTGGATCCTCCATTTGATTCTGTGTCCGTCCCCTTCTAGGGCCTCCTGGCGCCGGTAGTACTGGTCAGTGACATCATTTTATGTCTGCAGGGACCCGTCTCATTGTTCACTGGAATTTGATACATAATTGAGCTCCTTTGTCCCTTCTCTCTGGGCACAAAAACACTGCTGTGGGGCTTGGCATATAGCTAATTTGCAAAGGGGAAAAACAGCCACAGAGAAATGGGGAGTGATGTCCTGACTCTGGGAGTGACGCTTGAGGGGCAAAGCCTTCTTAGTCACTTTCGTCATTTAGAGAGTAATGCTGAAAAAAAAAATCATTAATAACAATTCTCTTGAGAGTCGTATCAGATCTTTATGTTATTTGAGGTAATTTTTTCCTCTATTGTGTAGAGTCCTTAACATAGAATTCTGTGAGAATATGGTCTAAGGATAATGTCCCATTAGTTGCCCTGACCTGATTTCTCCTGTATTTAGGGAACTTTCAGACCACACTGCAATTTTACATCCCTCATAATGCTTTTAAAACTAATCTGACATCTGCTGAAAGTCATTGTCCTTTGAGATAACTGTTCCTCTTTCTACAAGGAAAACTATCTGCCCAAAACCAAGGCTGTTGTAAAGGAGAAGTGCAGCTCCGCCTCCACATGCTATTGTATCCCTAATGCAGTGCGCATAGTCCCCCAGCAGCCAGCAATCAGCATGTTCAGTGTCAGCAATGCAAGTGTCCTCTGGAACAAGAGTTTACCTTGGAGTCCAGCTGTTGCATGTATGACCAGAGATACTCTATATTGGCTCCAAAAGGATGGACGTGAAGAAATGTTGATATGATGCCTGGATTAAAAAGACAAACATTGGTTATTGAGAGGCAAATAAGTCTCATCTACTACATGACATATCATAATGTCACCTAACTCCAGTGGTGGTTTTGTCAGGCTAAGTCATATATAGTCTTGCCCTTTCTAACAGCACTCAACAAAGCATTCAATAACAGCCCCTTCTGAAGGCAGTACTAGTAACGTGACAAACAGAACACTCCATCTCATGGAATGATAATAGTGAGAAAAGCTAGAGTCTGAGATAATATATAGATGAATGAAGGTATTGCTAAACAAAGGTTCCCGGAAGCATTTCAACTGACGATTTTATGCTTGATTTACCAATGTAAAATTGCAGTTATTGGGAAGATAAAATCATCTTTTTTCTTTCCCTCAGTGGACTTTGCCATATGAAAATTGTTCATACAGCTGTGTCAGAAATCACACTGCCTCAAATTTCCCTGGCAATTAAAGCTGCTAGTTATGAAAAGTATTTAATCCATATTTCCCGTAACTACCACAGAAGGGATCATAAATCCTTTCTGAAACCTTTGCTATTTCCCCCTGGTTGTTGCTGGTGCTTAAAGGGGGCCAGCTTGCTTTCTCCTTCTCTCTGCAGTAATTTACACAATCACTTAAAAGGAATGGATGGTTCGGCTGGAGTCTGATTATAAATCAGAAGGCTTTTCTATCATGAAAAATCAACTGTCAACATTGTACTGACAAATGAAAAGCTTGACGTTGGTGTCATGCCTGAGGTAAAAGCATTACCTTTCTACCCTCCCTGATCCTATATCCAAAATCAAAATAGTGAATATGAGGACGTTGAGTCCACAGACTGTATGCTTCTATTTGTTAAGAAACTGTGTTCAGACAGCTATTTGTTTGGTTCTCTTTTAAGCAGGTTTTAAGATGACTTAAATCTGAGGATAAACCCTCACATTGTATATTTGGAATTTCTGGTTACTGAAAGCTAAAGCAAAGGGAAGCCCTACCCTGTATGAATTGTAGTCAGGGAAAGATTAAATGAGAGCCCATCACTCTTGTACTAGGTCAAGTACAAGAGTGAATAGCACTCTTGTTCTGTGAATAGCAGGTGGCCCGGGATTGTTCTCGGGTGGGCTCTCATGGGCCCCTAATCTCCTGTGTGATGCTTGGGATGCTCTGGGAGGCTTGCCAGTTTTTTTCTAAAAAAGTTAGCAGTTTATCCTTAGGCTGAGGCCACGAACCAAAGTGCCTAGACAAGCACTTTGAAAGCCTTGTCCTCAGAACAACTGCTTGTAGGTGGGTTTTCTAGGTTGGCAGTGAATTGAGGAAGATAGAAATTGTTCATAACATTTCTCCATAAAGCTCAAATCTCACTTTCAGAAACTGATCTGTTTTTTCCTGAGATTTAAAGCACTGCCATTTTATTCTGAGAATGTCCTTCCTTTTTTGCTAAAATGTCTTTTTTTTTTTTAATTTACTTTTTAAATACATTTATCTCTGCCTCCCCCCCACCTCTTTCCCTTGCCCCCTCCCACCTTCCCTCCCTCAGCTCTTCCCCTTTGGTTTTGTCCCTGAGTCCTTGCTGTATGTTCCTTGACTTTCCCCTTCCCTTCCCTTTCCCTGCCGCCCCCCCTCTCTTGTCTCTGTTGATTTCTTTTCCTTTCAGTGTTGCTGGTCATATTTTCCTTGCATCTTTGCATTGTTGGTTAGGTTCCGCTTATAGGTGAGATCATATGGTATTTGTCTTTCGCCCCCTGGCTTATTTCGCTTAGCATGATGCTCTCCAGTTCCATCCATGCTGTTGCAAAGTTTAGTACTTCTTTTTTTCTTTCTGCTGCGTAGTACTCCATTGTGTATATGTACCATAATTTTTTGATCCAATCATAAAATGTCCTTTTTATGAAACACTGGTGATGATAAAGGACAATAATGGTAGTTTTAATATCTTTATGTGGCAAGTAGCCATTTTTAATGTACTTAAGCAGTATTGTTTGGTTCCCCTCCTACCACTTTATTTGTTAATTTATCTTTTAATTTTCTAGGCTTGGCAACTGCTTCCCTGTGTCTGAAATTCTCAAATCTGGTAAAGTGGCATTGTACAGAATTCTGTTACTAATAAGAGTTAAGAGATGGAAGTTCATTATTTACTAAAAGGAAAATTAGAAGTATTTAAAAAATAATACATTTATTTGCATTTCTTAAAGGGGCAGGGGGCAGAATTCTTCAGGATGGCGAACAGGACTTTCCTTGCTGTCTCAGGCTGAGGGCACATGGTATTATGTCCAGCACTTTCCACAGACAGCCTCCCACAAATGGTAGGCAGGCCTCCCTTCCCCACAAGGAGGACAGGAGGAGTAGTCAGCTCTGGCTTTGTGACTAGGCAAAGGTGTTTCTAGTGAGCAGTTCTTCTCACACACAGGGAGGAGAGGGGGCGCTCCAAAGTCAGGAGGGGTGCCACGGCCGGAGGTGGGCAGCATTCCTCTCCTGGGCTGGACATCTGCTGAGGCCGCAGACTGACAGATCTGGCTCTGTGCTGGCCAGGCACAGGGGAGTGGTGGGGTTGAGACGAGGAGTGAGCAGTATGGCCCTGCACCACTGGGGGTGACAAGGGTGTGTGAGTTTCTCATGAGCAAGGGCATCTCAGAAGGGAGAGAGGCTTGAGCAGTCTTGTGAGTTAAGTAACCCAAGGGCCTCAGTAAATAGAGAAAAATAGTTTTTGTATTACTCTCTCCACTGGACAGAGACTTACCAACATCTCCCAAGAACCCACAGCCTCTCCTATAAATGCCCAAGGGGGTATGACATGAAATTACCTAAATGTCTTTAGTAAAATGAAGAGAATGAGTCAGAAGAGGATGGAATGGGGGTGTTGGGGAGAGGTTGAAAACACTTGGCCTAAAAGATGAAAGCTGAAAGAGGAAATTGAGGGATACCAGAAGTGGGAGGACTGGAAGTAGCTGCGTTGTGCACATGTACTGCCCTTCTCCTTCACTGTTGACTGTCCTCTGCCTCAGTCTTGGTCTGCACCCTCAAGGAACCCTGTGCTTAGTCTTTACATGTTCTGGTTCAGTGCTGCAAATGCAGTATGCACGTACGATAGATGTGTGCTGAATGAATTTATCCTTTAGAACTAAGACTGGCCAGTATGCTTGTATAAAATCTCTTCTGTTTTGCTGTTTAATTGTTGATAAATGGGGATAAATAAGAGCCTTAAAAATTGTCTAACAAATGATGTAATAACTTTTTAAGACATTATTCACTTGTGATTCTTCCCCTTTACTCATCCTGTTATGGATTCAGAAAGAATAACTTGGGTATTTTGGGCATGGAAACTTTTCTAAAATTTAACTTTTCAATTGAAGGAACACTGATTAATACTATTATGCAAGTTTCAGGCATACAACATAATTTGATATCTGTATACACTATAGTGCTCAACACCAAAACTCTAATTTCCATTTGTCACCATATATTTGACCCCCTTCACCCATTTCTCCCTATACCTACTTTATTCCCCTCTGTTAACCACCAATCTGTTTTTTGTATTTATGGGTTTGTTTTTCTTGTTCATTTGTTGTTTTTTTAAAATTTATATTCCACATATGAGTGAAGCCATAAAGTTTTTGTCCTTTCTATCTACCACTCTTAGCACAAATCCTTGAAGCTCCATCCATAGTGCCATCAATGGCAGTATTTCATTTTTTTTTGTGACTAAATTGTATTTCATTTTTATATCTATCTCTCTATCTTTTCTATCTATCTATCTATTTACCTACCTACCTACCATGTCTCTTTATCCATTCATCCACTAATGGACATGGGTTATTCCATATTTAAGCTATTGTAAATAATGAACATAGGGATGCATATATATTTTTTGAATAGATATTTTAATATTCTTTGGATAAATAATTAGAAGAGGAATTGCTACAATAGTTCTGTTCTCAATTTGTTTAGGAACCTCCATACTATTTTCCATAGTAACTACACTAATTTACAAGCCCATCAACAGTGTATGAGGGTTCTGTTTTCTCCACGTCCTCACTGGCACTTGTTATTTATTGATGATAGTCATTCTAATAGGTGTGAGATGGTATTTCACTGTGGTTTTAGTTTGTACTTCTTCAATAATTAGTGATGTTGAGCACCTTTTCATGTGCCTGTTGACCATATCTATGTCTTCCTTGGGAAAATATCTATTCAGATCCTCTGTTTATTTTTTTAATAAGGTTGTTTGCTTTTTGTTGCAGTTGAGTCAAAAGTGTTCTTTATATATTTTTGATATTAATCCCTTATTGGAAATATCATTTGCAAATATCCACTCCCATTCTATTGGTTGTCTTTTGATTTATTAATGGTTTGTTTCCTTTGTTGTGCAGAAGCTTTTTAGTTTGATGTAATCCTATTTATCTTTGGTTTTGTTTCCCTGGGCATGGACACTTCTTATTGAAACTATTTGTTTAAAAACTAAGGAAAAAATACTTATGTAATTAATATATAATTTTCTAAAATCAGATTAGAAATCCTGATCCAGACATGAGTATTTTTCCTTAGGCGGGTATACAGAACCATCTCAGTTGTGGTTATTATCAAGCCATTAGCTTTTCTTTGCACAAGTTTAGCAATTGCCACTATGTACATGTGGGGCCAAGATAATAACCAAGTTAAATTAAGTTAAATTAAGTTTACCAACCTGTCTTATGAATGGCAACCAAGTTATTCAGTATTGCTAGATATACAGCAGAAGTGGGAGGCATTAGTCATCATCCTCCCAAGGACTGTACCCTTCTTCCTTACTACTTCCTACCCTACCCATAGCAGAAGCATCCCAGAAGCATCAGTCATGCTGTAGGAGAAAATGAAGTTTCTAGCCCCTGGTTTTGAATCTGAGTCATCTGGGGGGAGATTCCTGAACAATTAACTAAAGCTTCTTTGTACCTCCTCTAAAGGAACTGTTTTTTTTTTTTTCAAATGGGAAAAAGGACAGCTATAACTCAAAATCTAATGAAACATGTTACAAAACTGATG